AGAGAATATTTTTGTTCTGCCCCAAACCAACCCTTCAGACACCACGTTGCATGTGCTCATGTCCATATCTTAATTCACAGTTATTCTTACGACACTTACTCAGAGGACCTCTGTTACTTACATTCCATTTCTCTGCCTAAAATTCTGCCAATATGCCTTTAAGTTGTGATGTGGCAGAAACTATCTCCAATTGTCTTTAAAACAAAAAGATGTACTTCTCTTTTTATAATGCTTTTCACAATGATTATTTGAAGTCTCCTTTAAAGAAGAGTCCTTTTCAGAAATACAATGAGAGGTAATTAAAATCAACTGTAAAATGAGTTATTTTACAGCTCTAGGAACATGTAGAATTTCAGCATTTGGTACTCACAGAAGCAACGAAAATTTCCATTTCTCTTAGGTCATCCCGAATTAGGAAAAAAAATAAGCATATGCCCTTCTGCTTCAGTTATGCCACCAACAGCCAAATCAAGCTTTTGTTATTAAAAGGAGTCTGAAAAAATACTCAGATGCCATCTAATTTCTTTCCCTACTTTTCTTTCCTTTTAACTTTTTTTCCACCAAAAAAAAAGTCACAGGACAAATTTGGACTGAGACATATCTTAAGTAATAAACTTTATTTAAATCAGGTCCAAATGACATTTATTTGGAATAAAATAGAATCAACTTTCTTATAAAATTTATAAAACACACCTACTACATTTGATAATCTTGCGTGTTTTAACCAGAACAGAGAACACTGTAGTACTGTGCCCTTCTACACTGGAAATAAGGACAACTGTGACAATTACATAGCTTTAAAACAACATTGTAAATAACCATAAACATCATATCAGTTCATAACAACTTGATCAACTTGTACTCCCTTTTGAAAATGAACAAAATTCATATTCTTTCCAATTTTCCCAGCAGGAATCTTTACTTAACCTGAACTGTTGCTAAGCGTGACTTAGATGCTGTTGAGATGCTCCCAGGTGAGAGAGGATCTAATATCTGTAAGGAGTTCCACTCCATCCAAGCCCACTTAGCAAAGGGTAACCCACCTGTTCCTCCTGTTTTTCTCTCTCTGCTGCTCCTTCCCTGTCTTCTGTGTTCCAGGCAGAGTTATATTGGATCGGATAGGGAACCTATTATAGAACAAACTTTGGATGTGGCTGCTGCTTCTAACAGCAAGGGCAGGAATTTGAACACCTCTTGGGTAACTGAAACTTTCCAAAGAATTTTTCCCTTCTTAGAAGAAGGTAGCATTTTTAAAAGTAAACTCCATTATTTCCTTACTGGTCCATGCTCCAGCCCATTTAAACAGCACATTTTAGCAAAAACAACCTTTTACACTTAGCTGGTCTTCTGCCAGAGGACAGTGTCTCGATTGACAACAGGGGGCTTTGAGCAGTGGCCAGGCTTTGCAGCGGCACAGCCTGTCTATGCTCAGAAAGGAGGTGGACGGTGCTCCATCCACAACTCATGTTTCCCCTCACACACTCCCACGGCTTCGGGTCCCCACTGTCTGCCATTTCAGAAGTTCAAGCTGCTTGACCCAAAGCAAGGGTGGACGGCAGGTTGGGGGAACGGGTGAGAGACAGTCTAGGTTTCTACACAAGGAAAAGGAAGCCTGACACACACACCTCCTTAGGGTGAAAGGAGTCGCTAACCCGCACACAAGCCTCTCTGGTCAAAGACAAGAGTGGTTGTTATGGTGGACGCAAGTTGTCCCCAAGTATGTCCTGAATGTGGGAGGCCATGGCAGCTGCCTCCCTTGAGACAGCCCACAGGGCCCCTGCCAGGGGCTATAATGACTCGCTGGCCCTTGCCAGCTGTCACATTTTCCATGCTCCTGGAGCTCCGGTCCAGCAGAAGGGGCCATCCCAGTCACCAGCTTCAACAAGCACAGAATCCTGTGCCCATGCTGGGCCCGCACGGCCACCTGGAGCCCTCTTCTGGGGCTCCACCGAGAGCACTTCAATACACACTGGCCAGTGCGTCCAATTGACATTGTCCCTGGCCAGGGGAAGGGAGGAGTTCTCTTTCCCCAGAAGGAGATGTGGTGAGATCAGGGACACCCCCAGTAAAGAGGGGCACTTACTGCGGGGAAAAGCAGCATGTGTGTTTCCATCTCTGATTCCCGGGGCGCCCATGATTGTGGATGGGAAATGTATAGGGTGCCGTTTAGGCCCCTCTGTCCCAGGTTTAGCTTCTGTCTTTCTCATTCACTTCCTCTTCCTGCTGGCAGGGTAAGGCCCCAGGGCCCCCACCTAGGATGTGGGCAGAGGAGGAAGCCAGAGGGGGACATTGCTGGGGCCTGCCCCAATCTGGCACCTCAGCTACAGGACTGAGGGATCCTCTGGGTGAGGGTGGGCATTGCCAGAGAGGGCTGGTGCGGGGTTCAAGGAGGTGGGATCCTGGAAGCCCTCTCTTTTGGGACATGGCTGGAACCCACCAACTCGTCAATACTGGCTTAGCCTAGGCTGGCCCCTCCATCTTTTCACCCAGTCCCTAACCCACCCCATCATGGCTCCCTCCTTGGCTTCCTGGAAGCCTGGTCCAGCTGGATGGAATTCGGAAAGCTGGCCACTGAGGGTGCAGCTCTGCCTCTCTTGTCTGAAGGCACACTGTCAACCTCAGAAAACATTGTCAACCTCAGAAATCCTCCACCTTCTGGAAGCCTCAGTTTCGTCATCTCTAGCAGGGATAAAAAAACGCCCAGCTCACAGGGTTCTCATGAGAACCAAATGTCTGTAAAAATGCTTTGAAAAGCAGAACACTTTAACAAAAGGTGAAATGGTGTTAAACTTACCTGCTTGAAACTTTCAAGGCGATTTCCTTGGTCTCTCCCCTTCCTGCGTACTACAGTTCTGCTTGGGGACTCAGCTAGTTCCTGCCAAGACCTCTTTCCCTCTCCGCAAGCAAGTCATGTCAAGTCAGGGCCCCCTGAGGGTTGGAGATCCTACCAGGTTCCTTCCCTCTCTATGAAATCAATAAGGAACTCTCAGATTAAAGCACTATTGGGAGTTTGCACATTTCAAGCTATAAACTGTGAGCCAGTGGAGATTTCAGACCAATCCTCAGACACCCCCTGGACACATGGTAGTTGCAAAGCACTGTGCTGGGCTTTGGGAAGATGCAGAAATGAAGAGGTGGTCCCCACCCTCAAAGCAATCACAACCGAATGCAGAGATGATCTCCACATAACACAGTCCGGGCTATGGGAAAATGCTGTCAATGGTTTGCCGAGCGTGATGAGAAGAAGAAGAAGATGAGAAATCATCAAGGCTTCAAGAAGACAGTCATGTTGGAGATGAACCTGAGGCATGGGCAGGATGTTACAGGCAGAGCTGGAGGTCAGAAGCAGAGATCAGAGTGAGCCTAAGGGGTGAATACTGGTGGAAGAAAATGAGAAGGAAGCAGCCCTGAAACCAGCAAGCAGAGCCAATGGGCTCCTAGAGCTGAGGTCAGTTCCCATGGGGGACAGGTCATGCAACAGCATCCTTCTCCTTACACCAAAGAGGAACAAGGTGGAGAAGCTCATTTTCTTTCTGTTACACTGGACATCAGTGCTGTGCAATAGAACTTTCTACGATGATGGAAATGTTCTCCATGCTGCCAAACAGATGGCCACCAGCCACCTGGAACTACTAAGCACCTGAAGCGATGCTAGTGCAACTGGGGAACTAAAGTTCTAACTTGATTTTATTTTAATTAATTAATTTTTAATCGCCACAGGTGGCTGGTGGCTACCGTATTGGATGGTAGACGTTTAGATACCAAAAGGCCCTCTTCCCCATTCCATTTTGCCATGTGACGATGACAAGCCTGGTGTTGGGGTAGAAAACTTCCATAGCCACCAAGTAATGCTATTTTATTTGGGGAAGAGAAAGGTTAAATCTGACCCTCAACAGATATAAACGTGTGGCTGGGTTTTTGTTTTTGTTTTCCTGATAAGAGGCCAATTTCTGTGTGAGTTTTTGCTTAAGTAAGAAGCGTCAATCACTGACACAATGAACACATGTCTCTTTTGGGGAGGAAAGAAACCCGACCCACAAAGTCTCCTTAGTCCCCAAAGACCTTTTAATCAGAGGGAGGGAGAGGGAGTGGTGGGGAGTACTCATTCTAATGCTATAGTCATTGAGCCCAGAAATTTACTTCTCAAAACCTGGCAGGAAATCACGTATTTAAAAAAAAACGTTACCCCCACGATCATAGCAGCATTATTCACAATAGCCAAAAGGTGGAAGCTACTCATGTGTCCATCCATGGAGAAATGGATAGACAAAATGTGGCATATACATACAACGGAATATTACTCAGCCTTAAAAAGAAAGGAAATCTTGACCCACTCTACAGCATGGATCAAGCTTGAGGACATTGTGCTAAATGAAATAAGCTGATCACTAAAAACAGATACTGGATGATTCCACTTACATGAGGTACCTAGAGTAGTCAGATTCACAGAAGAATGGTGGTTGCCAGGAGCCGCAGGGCGAGGGGGTGATGGAGAACTGTTGTTTAATGAGTAGAGTTTCAGTTTTTCAGATGAAAAGAGTTCTGCGCAGTGGCTGCACAACAGTGTGAATGTACTTAACGCTACTGAACTGTACACTGAAAAATGGATAAAGTGGTAAGTTTTATGTTATGTGTATTTGACCACAATTTAAAACAAACAAATGTGTATACAAAGAAGTGGAAGCAGAGGAGGAGGTAGCCACATGAGTTTTAGTCCTCACCCAGTCCTCCATGAGCAACCGCACTTCACCCGAAAAAGCGCCGTTCCCCCTCCCCGCCGGGGGCCTGTCCTGTGACACTCCCACGGGCGCTCACAATAACCTCCTTGAGCGGCGCCAGCGGTACCTCCGCGTCCGCCCGAGGCGCGGGCGGCCAATGAGCACGCGCCTGCGCCCGGCCTCGCGCCCCCATTGGCTGCGCCCAGCGGCGCGCGGCCCCGCAGGTTCCCAAGCCGGGTTTAAAGGGGTCTGGCGCCGCAGCTGCCCAGCCACCGGCTCCCAGCGCGCAGGTCCGCGGGGAGGGGCGGCCTGCTACAGGGCCCACCCCAGGGCGTTCCTGAAGGGCGCCCTCGGCCGCCCCCACCGCACCCCAGATGTACCATGCGGTTTCCCAGGCGCGCGTGAAGGCGGCCCCCGCGACCATGCTGCGGCCACAGCGGCCGGGAGACGTGCAGCTTGGGGCCTCCCTGTACGAGCTCGTGGGCTACCGGCAGCAGCCCTCCGCCTCCTGCACCTCCTCCTCCTCCACGACGGCCCCCCTCCTCCCCAAGGCGGCGCGCGAGAAGCCGGAGGCGCCCGCCGAGCCGCCCGGCACGGGATCCGGGTCCGGGGCGCACGCGGGCGGCGGCTCCCGGGCGGACGCCAAAGAGGAGCAGCAACAGCAGCTGCGGCGCAAGATCAACAGCCGCGAGCGGAAGCGCATGCAGGACCTGAACCTGGCCATGGACGCGCTGCGCGAGGTCATCCTGCCCTACTCGGCCGCGCACTGCCAGGGCGCGCCGGGCCGCAAGCTCTCCAAGATCGCTACGCTACTGCTCGCCCGCAACTACATCCTGCTGCTGGGCAGCTCGCTGCAGGAGCTGCGCCGCGCGCTCGGCGAGGGCACAGGGCCCGCTGCTCCGCGCCTGCTGCTGGCCGGCCTGCCCCTGCTCGCCGCCGCACCCGGCTC